ACTGTGCTGCTATGAACATGGGTGCACATATATCACTGTGGTATGATTCTTTTAATTCTTTGGGGAAGATCCCCAGCAGTGGAATAGCGGGGTCCGATGGGACTTCCAGTCCTAGTTCTTTGAGGTATCTCCATACTGATTTCCACAGTGGTTGCATCTTATTCATCTTCTTGAGTGTGTGTGTTCTTTTTTGGCGGGGTGCTGAAGATGGAACTCAGGGCTCTATGCATAGGCACTTTGCAGCTCTTTGTTTTTATAGGGTTTTTTTTGATGAACAAACATTTTTTAAAGGCCGGGGATTTAGCTCAGTGACACCACCCCTGCCTCGCAAGTGCAAGGTCCTGAGTTCGATCCCCGGTACCAAAAAAAGAAGTTTAAAAAAAATTTTTTTTTTTGGTACCGGATATCGAACTCAGGTCCTTGCGCTTGTGCAGCAGGCGGCGAAAACACTGAGCTAGATCCCTGGCCCTAAAATTTTAATATAATCAAATTTATCCAGCTTTTACTCTGTGGTTTTTTTCTTTTGTGTCTTGTTTCAGAAATTCTTCTTGCCCAAAGATTATAATCTTATATTTTTGTAGTTTTTGTTTTTCCTATATAAAATTGTAATACGGCTGGCATTAATTTCTGTCTTTTATGAGATTTTTTTTTCCACAGCTATAACCAGCACCATCCTTTCTGCATTTCTTCATAGTGCCAATACTGTATCATCTTTTCCATGTGTTCATGAGTCTGTTTCTGTCCTTTTATTCTGTTTTATAGGCCAGTTTATTTCTGGACCATTCTATTCTTTCCTCAATTACTGTTTATAATTCTTTGTTTGATATGAAAGTCTTAACCATACCTGACCCTTTGTTTTTCCTTATACATTTTATAATTAGGGTATTAAATTAAGCACAAAAAAATTGTTGACATTTTTATTGGACTTTGATTGACCCCTTTGATTATATTGGAGATAACTGACATAATTATTACTATTATTATTATTATTTGGTTTTTGACAGTGTCTCATTACATAGTTCAGGCAGGCATTGAATTCGTTATGTAGCCCAGGCTGTCCTTGAACTTGTGGCAATCCTCCTGCCTCAGCCTCCTGAGTTCTGAGATTACTGGTGTACACCACCACACTGGGCTGACATAACTATAATGTTAACTATTCCAATTTATGAATTTAATATATCTTTTTTTGTCTTTTTAAATGTATCTTTTTGCAAATGTTAGATTTTTTTTTTTTTTTTTTTTTTTGCCTTTGGCAATACTGGGAATTGAACCCAGGACCTTTGCACTGAGGTACATCCTTAGCCCTTTTTAAATTTTTTTAAACTTTGGAGACAAGGGCCAGGGATGTAGCTCAGTGGCACAGCACCTGCCTGGCAAACTTGAGGCCCTGAGTTCAATTCCTGGTGCCAAAAAAATAGATAAATTTTGAGACCAGCACTGTGTTGCCCAGGCTGGGCTCAAACCTGTGGTGGTCCTGCCTCAGCCTCAGAGTGCTGGGATTACAGGTGTGTATAGCCATGCCTAGCTTAGATTTATTCTTAAAACTATAGGGCCGGGGATTTAGCTCAGTGGTTTTGCCGCCTGATACGCAAGTGCAAGGACTCGAGTTCGATCCCCGGTACCAAAGAAAAAAACTATATGTATAATTTTGAAGGAGACATAACTTTTTTTTTTTCTTTTCCAGTTCTGGGAACTGAACTCAGGACCTTGCACTTGTCAGGCAGGCATGGTGCCACTAAGCTACATCCCGGGCTCTGAAGGAGATACAATTTAAAACCCTCTTAAAATGTAAAATTAAGGAGTTTTTAGTTATTCAAATGCTATCTAATCATGACCACTAGGTAGCTAACTCCCACATATTTTCATTACCCCCAAAGAAAACCTTTTATACCTTTTAGCAGGCACTTTTCCATTACCCTTTTTCCTAGCTTCTGGCAACTAACTACTTTCTGTGTGGATTTTCCTGTCCAATTATAATTTCATTACTATCTTCTTTCACTGAGCATAATCTCTTCAGGAATCATTCATGTTTTAACACATGGTCAGTATTTCATTCCTTCCTATGACAATAATATTTCATGTTATAATGTTTTGTTTATCCATTTCCTAGTTGATGGGCATTTGGTTTCCACATTTGACTATCATAAATAATGCTGCTATGAATTTTATGAATATGAGAGTGCCATTTGTTGGATACAAAGCTCTATGTGTTTATTAGATCACATGATCTGCTTGTTAATTGGCTTGCTAAAATCTTTTAAGTCCTTACTGATTTCCTGCCTGAATTATTCATTGACTAAGTGAAGTATTTAAAAATCTCTCACTCTGATGATGGATTTATCTACTCCTCCTTGTAATTGTTAATATTTTGCTTTCTGTAATTTGAAACTAGGCAAATAGAAACATAAAAGTAGGGCTGGGGATTTAGCTCAGTGGTCTCGCTGCCCACTGTGCAAGCGCAAGGACCCAAGTTCAATCCCCGGTACCAAAAAATAAATAAATAAATAAAAGAAACATAAAAGTTTAAGATTGTTACATTGGGGGCCAGGGATTTACCTCAGTGGTGCTGCGGCTGCCTCATAAGCATAAGGTCCTGAGTGTGATCTCCCGTGGGGGTGGGGGTGTTGTTATATTGTCCTAGAGTTTAAATGTTTTAATTTTAACATTATGTATAGTCTTATAGCTTAGTAGTGCCTTTTATTTGAAGTGTATATAGTTACACTGTTTTGTCATAGTGTTTATTAGTTTTTTCCATTCTTATACGTTCAACTTTTTCTGTCCTTTTAATGCTCATATATATATCTTATAAAGAGAATATATGTGAACTTATACTTGTGTAACTGATTATCTTTTAAAGCTAGAGCATTTCAGTTCTTTACAGTTTTAGTAATTATGATATTTGGATGTATAACTACTATCTAAATGTGTCTTGTTTCACTTTTTAAAAATCTGTTTGTTTGTTGGTATGAGGGATTGAGCCCAGGACCTTCACACTGAACTACATCCTCTACCCTTTTAATTTTTTATTTTGAGACAGGGTCTTGCTGAGTCACTTAAATTGCCCAGGCTGGGCTCCAAATTGTGATCCTCCTGTCTCAGCCTCTCAGAGTAGTAGAAGTTCAGGCATGCTCTACCACTACTGGTTTTAAATTTTTTTTTTTTTTTTTTTGGTACTGGGGATCGAACTTGGGACCTTGCACTTAAGAGGCAGGCGACCACACTACTGAGCTAAATCCCCGGCCCTTAAATTTTTTAATTTTGAATCAAGATCTGGCTAAGTTGCCCAGCTTGGATCGAATTACAGTCCTCTTACTGCAGCTTCCTATCAGGTGCCACCATGCTTGGCCTAATCAGTATTTTTTACTTACAACTTTACTGCTTTTTCCTTCTTTCTTTTATTGCTATTAAGAAGTCATCATGGGCCGGGGATTTAGCTCAGTGGTTCCGGCGCCTGCCTCGAAAGCACAAGGTCCTGAGTTCGATCCCCAGTACAAAAAAAAAAAAAAAAAAAAAAATCAGGCCATCATTAACTTCTGTTTTTATATCAGGTCTTATCCTTTCACTCTTTTGGTGATAAGTAATAAGTAGATTTAATTTAGTAATTCATTATCTTCTGCCCAAGTCTTTTTGTAATGGTATAGGCCATAAGTAAATAATACTATTTCAAAATGTCTTTAAAATATACACTTAGTTTCTCAGAAGAGGATTTGAGACCCCTGTATCTTCTAGTCATATAGATTATAAACTTCGTAATAACAGTGTTTTCACAGTTGTGCCTTAAAATACCAGTCTGCTAGAGCCATTGAGCCATACCTAGTGGCGCATGCCTGTAACACCAGCACTCTGAAAGGCCAATGCAGAAGGCTCAAAAGTTTGAGTCTAAACAACCTAGTGACTTAGTGAGATCCTGCCTTAAAATAAAAGACAAAGACTTTTTTTTTTTAAAGGCTGGGGACGTAGCTTAATTTCTAGTACTGGAAAAGAATGTTTTTAAATAGCAACTGATTTACAATAAAAATATGAAATTGAGGGTTTTTTCTCCTTTGTTTGCTAATGTATAGCCAGATTCTCCTGAATATAAAGCTGCTTGTAAGCTCTGGGACTTGTATCTTCGAACAAGAAATGAGTTTGTTCAAAAAGGAGAAGCTGATGATGAAGATGATGAAGAAGATGGGCAAGACAATCAAGGCACAGGGACTGAAGGAGTAAGTGTACAGCTGGAACCAGTTATGGATGGACTGTGGGAAGGTGGACAAAGCCCCTGCCTGTGATCACCTCTGGTCTGTTGTGTGAAGCTGGGGTTCCTGTGCTGTTGTAATGGTAACTAGAATGTAAATGGACATTCAGCCAGAATGCCTCACTCCACTTTCAAGTGATCCTGGACAGTGTGTGCCATGCATGGCTATTGTTCATCTACTTCTGGCATCTAGACTTTGCCTTATATGTAGGTAATCGTAAATATTTGCTGAAGGAAAACACATTTGAAAAGAAAAGTGAGAGGAATCTACTCTTCTGTGAGAAATTGTGAAAAACACAATGCAGAATTCCACATTTTTCTGTAAGATACCTAAACGGACCTTTTGCTGGAAGTCTAACACAGAAAGAAGTAATATGGGGTTAATTCATCAAAACTACTTCTTAGAGTCTCAGAATATAGTTGCTAGGCTCGGCCTGGTGCATACCTGCGATTCTAGCTACTCAGAAGCCCAAGGCAGAAGATTATAAATTTGAGGCCAGTCTGGGCGATTTAGTGAAACTTTGTCTCAAAAAAATATGAGGGAGGCCCGGAGATTTAGCTCAGTGGTTCTGCCACCTGCCTTGCAAGCACAAGGTCCCGAGTTCAATCCCTGGTACAAAAAAAAAAAGGTGGGGGAAGGGTGCTGGGATTATATTTTTGTAGTAGAGCACTTGCCTATTATGTGTGAGGCCTGAGTTTAATCCCCAGGACCACAAGAACAAAAACAGTAGGGTTGCCAGGTATCTTGTCAATTTATTTGAAGAAATTAAATGGTTAGAACTAGGTGGAAGACAATTAACACAAATTCCTTGACATTTTAATCTCTTATGAATACAAGAGAAACAATTTAACCCATGCTTTCTTGGGCAGAACATTGCCTGCTGAGGCCCAGCCTTACTATAGGCATCCAGAGCTGTAGTCAGAAAACAAAAATTTAGGATTTAATTGTATTTATTCTTGTATTTTATTTGCATAATTGCTAAGAAATTACGAGGATCTTGTATATTCATATTTATGCCTCCCATGCTTCTTTCTAACCTTAAGGTATTTGTGAAAGGGGAAGAAGTTTTTTGTTTGTTTTATTTTGTTTTTTGGGGTTTTTTTTTGAGACAGGGTCTTGCTGTGTAGTTCAGGCTGGCCTTGAATTCACTGTGTAGCCAGCCCATGCTGGCCTTGAACTCATGGTGATCCTCCTGCCTAAGACTCCCAGGTTCTAGAATTACAGGCATGTGTCACCATGCCCGGCAAGGGGAAGACGTTTTTTAAGCTTCTAATTTTTAAATCAACAGTCATTTTTTAGAGTTTTTCCAGTTGGAAGAGAATGTGCATATTCACAGACACTCTTCCCTTTGTCACTTGGAACATGTTTCAAAAGTAGCTGGTTAGGGCTGGGGTAGCTCAGTGGCACAGAACCTGCCTTGCAAGTGCAAGGTCCTGAGTTCGATCCTCCATACTGGAAAAAAAAGAAACCTGAACGAAAAATAAAAAGAATGAGGGGAAGCCACGGACATGTCAGCAAAAGTAGGTAGTTGGAGAGGGAAAAGAGTTTTGGCTGCAGAACTCCTCTTTTTGAAGTGAACTATGTGATACCATGTTTTAGCCAGGAAGTAAGTGACTTAAACATGGCAATTTCAGTTTACTTTGATTGGTATCTTGGATTTCTGAGCTTACATAATTTAGGTCCTTACCAAATTACATTTTTTGCCAGATGTGGTGGTGTGCACCTATAATCCCAATACTAGGGAGGTTCAGGCAAGAGAATCTCCATGTGTTCAAGGCCAGTCTGACTATATATAGCAAGACTCTGTCTCAAAAGGCGGGGGAGGGGGCTGGATTTAGGTCAGTAGCACCGCACCTGCCTTGGAAGCACAAGGTCATGAGTTCAAGCCCCAGTACAAAAAAAAAAAATACATGTCTTCTATGTTAAATATTTATTGAGTGTTGAGGTATTGTGCTAGGCCCAAGAGATGTTAGTGCCCTCTTGGGAGAGTTAATAATGTTGGACCTTAAAATTGAGGCTACACTAAATAAACAGCTTCTCTTGGATTAGCACAAAAATACTACTGCTTTTATCATTTAAATTGTAAATTAACTATTAATCTTTATTTGCACAAAACATGATTTGGACTTAAAGTACCATGTACTTCATCCTATTCCCTAGTATAGAAACTTGCTTCAAACTGGCCAGGTGCTCTTTAGGACATATACTTCATTATATTAAAACAGTGACTAAATGTAAGCCAGTCAGTCTTAAAACTGAAATGGTATATATCATTTTACTTACTAATCTTCGTTTTGTTTTGCTATAACACGAATTCAGTTGTTAGTCCAGGCAGAGCACACTATGGGTGATAGTGTGTAGTCCTGACTCTGTGTGTAGTTATTGTTCTACCAGACGCTATGATTTCAGTAGACATGAACAGCATGTGTAAAAATGGCCAAGTATGGGCTGGGGATTTAGCTCAGTGGTTTTGCCGCCTGCTATGCAAGTGCAAAGACCGGAGTTCGATCCCCAGTACCAAAAAAAAAAAAAATGGCCAAGTATTATTGGCCGTGTTTTCTCAAGCTTAGTTGCTCAGACCCTAAAAAAGTATCTGTTTCTATCGTTTTACACACATAATACTTGAACTTTCAGTAAAGGACTTGATCCAAGAAATTTACAAAAATAATGAGCTTAATTAATTTAATGTAGGGCATTCTAGGGGTACAGTCCCATCTTTACCGTCAGCATTTCTGTGGTTGTCTTTCTTTTTATTTTTCTAATTTTTAAAAATTTTTGCCATACTGGGAATTGAACCAAGGCCTAGTGCTGGCTATTGAGTTCTGTCACAAAGTATGTTTTTCTCATCCCTCATACCCTAGACTTCTCCAGGTTACCTGAAGGAAATATTAGAGCAGCTACTTGAATCCATAGTTGTAGCCACAAATCCATCAGGACGGCTCATCAGCGAACTTTTTCAGAAACTGCCTTCTAAAGTGGTAAGTGATGTGATTAAAGACAGATGACTTTAGGTATTTGAGTTCATTTTAAGTACTTCAAAAATTTTATTGGTAGCTTTGAGTGTGGTCCATGCCTGTATCTCAGCTACTTGGGAGGCTGAAGCAGGACGACTGCAAGTTTGCAGCCAGCGTGGGCAACTTGGTGAGACCTTGTCTCAAAATACAAAGGGCAAAGGGATGGGGTTGTAGCTCAGTGGTTAAGAGCCCTTCCCAGCATGTGTGAGCCCCTGAGTTCAATTCCCAGTATAAAAAAATAGTGAATAATGTAAGGTTGAAAGGAAAATGTTGGAGGTTCCCAAATACCTGCCTGTGGCTTCAAAAGCAAGCACAAAGGACATGGTCTTATCATTTTACTTGACCAGAAGGTTGTTATTTTATTACTGTGGTAAAATATACATAAAATTTATTATTTTAGCCATCTTTACATGTACAGTCCTGTGGCATTAAATACATTTACATTGTGAAAGCATTTTTTTTGTCCCATCTGTAGACCTTTTCATCTTCCAAAACTGAAACTTCATTACCCATTAAGTACCAGTTCTATTTATGTCCTCTTCAGCCTTTGGCAGCCACTGGTATGCTTTCTGTCTGTATGATTATGATTACTTTATCTAAGAGGAGTCATACAGTATTTGTCCTGTTAGTGCCTTACTTAGCATAGTGCCTTCAGGGTTTATCCACTTTGTAACATGTGTTAGAATTTCCTTTCTTTAGGCCAAACAATATTTCATTGTAACAATGTACATTTTGCTTCTCTTTTCGTCTGTCAGTGAACATTTGAGCTGCTTCTATAGTTTAGCTGTTTTGAGTAATGCTGCTATGAATATGATACACATATGGTATAGCTCCTTTCACTTCTTTGGGGTCTATACCCAAAGTAAAATTGCTGCATCATATGGTAATATTTTCAGTTTTTTGACAAATCACCATGCTCTTTTCTTCCTGTCTTAAAAATTTAAATCATATGTTGGGTGTAATCATTATGGCTTTGTAATCAGATCTTTACCAAAGATAGCAGAGGTCATACGCTTTATTTCTAGTGTCATAACCATTCCACAGCCACTTAAGACCACCTTTAAGTGACTAGTTTTGTCAGTGACTGATGGGAAAAGCTTTGTCACTCATCAGTCAACAAGTATTTGTTGCACACTTATGACATGCTGAGTTTGAACTATATGGCAGCAATATAAGGGTAAACACGGCATGGTCCCTGTCCTCAAGAAATTCGGGGAGTAGAGAAGGAGGTAGATACAGAAGTAAATGATCACAGTAGGGGTAAGTGCTAGAGTGGAGTACCTCTCAAAGAATACCCTTACCTAGATATTTAAGAGTGAGGCGCCATGGAAATTTTGAAGTTTCAGAACCTATGGTATGAATCAACTCTGTAATCATGTTAATTGTCTCTTGGATATGAAGTCATAAGGGGCCCTCATACTTTTTTTTTTTTTTTTTGGTACCAGGGATTGAACTCGGGTCCTTGCGTTTGTGAGGCAAGCCCCGGAACCACTGAGCTAAATCCCTGGCCCCCCTCATACTTTAAATGTCTCACTTGGCTAGAAAATCTCTTCCTTTTTAGGATGGAAGAATATCTAATTTCTCTCTCCTCTATGACCAGGAAATCAAGGAAAACTAAGGCAACTTATTTATGTTCCTCTCACCCTACTTCTTGACCAGAGTTTCTTTTATGAATAAAAAGTTTAGTTTAGGTGTTTAATTTATCATTGAAAATAAATCTTGGACCCCTGCCTGCCTGGCAAGTGCAAGGTCAAGAGTTTGATTTCCCAGTACAGGGGGGAAAAAATGAAAATTAATCTTGGAAACAACCTCAATGTCCACTGATAGATGAATGAATAAACTGTATATATAAACAAGAGACTACTTAAATTTAAATAGGAAGGAAATTTTAATGTATGCTACAATATGAATAAAGCCTGAACATAATGCTAAAGGAAATAAGCCAGCCGTGAAAAGACAAATTGTATAAATATGAGGTACCTAGAATATAGTCATCATCAAGACAATACCAGGCATGGTGACACATGCATGTAATCCTAACACTGAGGAAACTGAGGCAGGAGGATCACTTTGAGTTCGAGGCCAGCCTACATACTGAGTTCAAGGTCAACCTGGACTATATAGGGAGACCCTGTCTCAAGTAACAACCAAAAAAAAAAAAATCAGAGACAGAAGGTACAATTGTGGTTACCAGCTGACAAGGGAGAAAACAGTCTGTCTGACTTCCCCTGAACTTCTTGCACCTGGGAAGGGGGTGGGCACCTAACTTTTGATTTTTTGTCCACTTCAGTCGTTATCTCCAAGAACAAAACTTGTACGAGACCTTGACAGTAGTGAATGACTCTAGGCATTGCGAAAGGCTCAAGGACACCCTACAATGTACAAATTCTTGGGATAAACTAGTGTTTGATAAATTAAAAATTATTTATAATTTTGCTTCATTTTTTTCTTCTGGTTTCACTTAAAATTTTTTATTTTGGAAAAATTGACCGAAACAAGTTGAAACAGTAAGTTAAACATGAAGCTAACAAATCTTACAATCTTACGAATGCTTATATGAAATGTAATTTATTTATTTACGGAAGTAAAGGCACTTGTAACAGGTCCATCAAAAACTTTCTTCTGCTTTATTTCCAGGAATAGATATCTTGGGCCCTTAAATTAGAAACTCTGATTCCATGGACTTAGAATTTTTAAAACATATAGTATGTTAGTTATATAATGATAACTATCAAATACCAAATATAAACTTCAGTCTGCTGCTGTTGCATATTTCATGAAACTTCTTAAAATTACATTATCTTTGCTTTACAACTGTGCTATATAGCTATGTATTTTAGCTATGAATCTCACAAAGCTCACAAAGAACAGATTGTCAGTGTGCTTTTTGCCTTCTCATTAGCTGGATAATTGCACTCATTGAGCATACTTGGGTTTTTGTCTTCCAGCAATATCCAGACTATTATGCAATAATTAAGGAGCCTATAGATCTCAAGACCATTGCCCAGAGGATACAGGTATGATGGTGACAATATGTTATCATATGTGATTTAGAGCAATTAGTTCATAGACTTTTATAGGGACTTTTAGAAAGCAGAGAAGCAGATGTCTAAGGGGATATTGTTGTTATCAAATAACAAATGTACTCATTGTAGCTTTGAGTATGTCTTAAGACAAAAATTAGAGTTGGGAGTATAGCTCAGTGGTAGAGAGTTTATCTGTCCTATGCAAGGCGCTACGTTAGATTTCCAGCACCGGAAAAAAGAATTGCTTACTGCCATTTCTGATCATGAAAGGTACATAGACAATAAGAGCTTTGTGGTTTATTTTTTTTATCCACTTTCAGGTAGCTTTATGATCTCTTATAATAAGTTATCTTACAACAGATGAATGTAAAGTCAGTGATAGTACTTTGTTCTCTTCAACCCTTTCTGCCTTTTGCCCATTCACTGTTTCTCTAGATGTAGTAGCTGCAACACTCACACAGACCAGCTGTGAACCTAGCACTCTTCTAAATAATTTATATATATTACCTGTGGTTCTTAAAAAAACTCCAAGAGATATATACTGTTATTATTCCCATGTTACAGATTAGAAAGCTGAAGCATGAAGATATTAAGTAACTTGCCCAAGTCACCACCTAGTAAGAAGAAGTGCTAGAATTTGAATACAGACAGTCTGGCTCCAGAGTCTGTACTCTTAACCTTTGCATTTACTGTCCCATTCAGAGATAGGTACCCAGAAAATCTAGAATAAATGAATGATTAGGATTTATAGTTTGATGATCAGAGGTTAATTATACAAAGAAAGTTCTAATTTATACCATAAATTAGTTTTTAGAGGGGAACTGACATGGTTCTTTTCTCGGCTCTGGTTTACTATCTGTCACTTTGGTCAGATGACTTGCCTGTTTCCTCTGCTGTATGTGAGTGTAATATCATCACTTTGCTGAGTCAAAGAGGTCGATGATATATACAAAACCATTTTACACCTATAGGATGAGGCCCTATTAAGTCACTCATCCTCCCAGGGTAAAGAAGGGTTTGCTGATCCTAGGAAATAAAGCAAAAGGGAAAACTTAATGTGTTACATAGTCTCATTAAGTAATGAGACTGAAGTACTGTGGCTTGCCAGGAGGGAGAAATTTCCTTAGTTTTAAATTCTAAGAAAGTAATAAAGAGTAACAATGTAGTAAGTACTGGTTCCACAGACACATTTTTACAGAATGTTAAAACACAGATTCCTAGTCCAGACAGACTCCCTAACGTATCATCTGGGTTTGAAGCAGCAACTACTATAGAGAATGCTTGTCTCAGAGTCCTAACATCTGTCTAGGGGACCATGTTTTTATTTTCATAATACTGCAAAAAAAATCAGATTTTTAAACATCCATTAGTCCTATTCAGTCTTTTCTCTGACCTCTCAACTTTATCTTGTTTTTCCAAAAGTCTCAAGAGTCACCTTCTTTTGGCATCACCTCAGTCAAGATCCTTGTCATCTTATGTTCAAATTATTAATCTTTCCTACCACTCTGACAAAAAAATGTTTAATCTTTTCTGCATCTTCTTGACCCTGGCCATCTTCCTGCCATCCCACTGCTTAAAGACAAGTTACTTGTTTTCTAATGCCTGTAAAGACTGTCACAATAACTTTTACCTGCTCAACAATAATCAACTCTAAGGCAGAAAAGAAATTTATGAAAAGGGTGTTAGATATCTTGTAGAGTTGTTGGAATGGAAAGCTGTGGTGAACTACCTTTAGGTAGTGGAACTCAGACATGTCGTGGCACCATTGCTGTTCCTCTGTCCTTTGCCATTGTGCACCCCAATTCCTACTCACTGGTCCACTGTTAGACTGTCCTCCTCTGCAGGAATTAGGAATGAGTTCCAGCCATTCATTCCTTGGCCATCATTTTAGTCACTCAGTGTCCAAGCCTGAGTTAGCTGACCTGTGGTTATGACCCTTTGCCCTGCTGCTAGGCTGTTGGGAAAGTGAACATATGCCACCTTTCACCGCTGAGTGAGGTAGGGCCCATCCTACCATCTGTTCTGAAATTCCCTCCATATAAGATGAGTATTCAGAGTTTGATAGTCCCACACAGCACATAACCAGCTACAGTCCTCTACCTGGCTTTCTGGATCCTGCCTCTTTTGGCTTTGCCCTGTGTATACAGCTTGTGTTACAGTTCTACTCTTCCCTACCCTCCACTCCACTTAATTTGGTTTCCTCAGTTTCTAGAACTTGTCCTGTATATTTCTATTTATTTACCATTATTCTCGTGTGCCTTTTTCCTCACATATGTCCCACTTTTCTTCCCTTTGTAAATTGAGGCAGCTATGTGAGTATCCTTAGGGTATTTTGGACTAAGTGAGACTTAAGATATGACAACTTTGGCACGCTGTAGGTATTCACAAAATGTTAGACTCTATACTGGACTGATTTTATATTTTACCCTAAGTGGTCCAGATAATTAGAGGGAGTTTTAGTTCACACTAGTAAGTCTACTTTAATGAATTAGTATTATAGTAAGCACTCTGTGTTTGCTTGTTTGTTTTTTGGTACCTGAGATCGAACTCGGGTCCTTGTGCTTGTGAGGCAGGCACCCAAATCATTGAGCTAAATCCCCGGCCAGCACTGTGTGTTTGCTAAATAATACTTTTATTTGTTGAAAGTTCTAAGTTATTTATTTATTTTTTGTTTATTTGTTTGTTTTTCTTTTTTTTTTTGGTACCAGGGATCAAACTTGGAACCTTGTGCTTGCGAGGCAGGCAGCGGAACCACTGAGCTAAATCCCCAGGCCTTGAGTTATTTTTAAGAAGATAATGTAGTTCTCATTTGTTATCTGTTACAAAAATTTGTAAATGGGCAGTAGTAATGTGTAAAAGAAAAAATGATTTTACATATTATTTACATACATATTTTCCAAAAAAATCTTAGATTCTGGTAACAACTTAAAAATATGTGGAGTTCTTTTTTAAAGGGTATGTTAATTAATATAACTATCATTAAGAGGAATTGCTATATTTTGTTGTTTACTGTAGAATGGAAGCTACAAAAGTATTCATGCAATGGCCAAAGATATAGATCTCCTAGCAAAAAATGCCAAAACTTATAATGAGCCTGGTTCTCAAGTATTCAAGGTTAGTTCTTTGTTGTTGTTGTTTTGATTGATATTAGTAGAAACTTTCATTTAAAGTCAATAATTTTTGTATAACAACTTTATCAAGATATGTCATGTACTATAGATTTCACCTATTTAAAATATACAGTTTATTAATTTTTAGTATATTCATAAAGTTGTGCAGCCATTACCCCTATCAGTTAGCAATCACTCATTTCTCCCAATTTCCTTAGCCCTTTGTGACCACCATCTATTTTCTGTGTCTACACATTTGGCTCTTCTGGACTTTTCATATAAATGGAATCATACAGTACTATGGATATGGATTCCTTTGTGACCTAATTCCTTCATTTAGCAATAATGTTTTCAAATTTCACCTATATTTGTAGCATACATCAGCACTTCATTTTTCTTATTGCTGAATAATATTCTATTTTATGTGTATCATATTTTATCGCAATATCCATCAGTTGCTGTTGTTTCCATTTTTTGCCTATTATGAATAATAATAGTATGAACATGAGCCTGTATGTGAACATGTATTTTTATTTCTCTTGGATATATACTAAGGAATGGAATTGTTTGATCATATGGTAACTGTATATTTAATTTTCTGAGGAACCAACAAACTGTTTCCCAAAGTCACTTTACCAGTTTGCATTCTCATCAGCAATGTACAAGGGTTAGAATTTTTTCACATTCTCACTAACACTTGCTTTCCATTTTTACTTGTATTACAGCCACTGTAGTAAGTGTGAAGTAGTATGTTATTGTGGTTTTGATTTGCTTTTCCATATGAGTATTGATGTTGGTCATCTTTTCATGTGCATATTTGGAGAAATGTCTATTCAGATCATTTGCCCATTTTTAAAATTGGGTTACTTTTTTATTATGGAGTTATAAGACTTTTTATATTCTATCACACTTATTCGATATATGATTTTCAAATATTTTCTTCTATTCTCTCTTTACTTTTATGATATTGTCCTTTGACCTCCCAAAATTTTTAATTTTTCTTTTTTTTTGGTACTGGGGATCGAACTCGGGACCTTGCACTTACAAGGCAGGCATTGGAACCACTGAGCTAAATCCCCGGCCCCAAAATGTTTAATTTTGATGAAGTCCAGTTTGTTCTTTTTTTTTTTTTTTTTGGTTACTTGTATTTTAGGTGTCAAAGCATCACATATTCCAAGGTCATGAAGATTTATGCCCATCTTTTCTTCTAAGAGTTTGATAGTTTTAACTCTTAACATTTAAACCTTTGATCCAACTGGAATTAACTTTTGTGTAAGTGAAGGTAGGACTCCAAATTCATTCTTTTTTTCTTTTTGGTACCAGGGATCGAACTCAGGACCTTGCTCTTTAAAGGCAGGCGGCAGAACCACTGAGCTAAATCTCTGGCCCCCAAATTCATTCTTTTGCCTGAGATAGTATCCCAGCACCATGTATTGAAAAGATTATTTTTTCCTCGTTGAATTATCTTGGCATACTTGTTGAAAATCAGTTAAATGTAGATATAGGGATTTACTTCAGAAGTCTTGGTTCTGTTCCATTCATCCAAATATTTATTCTTATGCCAGAAAAAGTTAGTTTTGGGTCCATTTTCTAAGTTAAATATTGCTTTATATCCTGCATTTAAACTTCATAAATATAAAAGGCAATCTTTGTAGCATAATACACATTGTAAAATTACTGTTTCATCACTTTGTAGTTCCCTCTTAGAAATTTTGTAGTCCTATAATAAATAGTTGCTTATAGAAATTTCTTGGATTAATGAAATCACTAGGAGTTTAGGAAGAGATATTCAGGAAATCTTTTGGTAGTAAAATTGTTAGATTTTCTGAACACTCACCTAGGTACTTAAAATTGTTATTGGTAGTTAATATTAACTTTTATCTTTCATCTTTTGAGGAGCTTTGAGAGAAAATCAGGAGGAATGAATTATGAAGTTCTTATATTCTTAGTATGTGACAGGACATTTTTATAGTATAGTGCCATTATTGATACATGTAAGAATTTTACTTTTTTGGTATGTTTTACCCGAAACTAAATTTTATAGAGAAAGGAAGCTTCCAGTTTGATATATTAGTGTGCTATTAATTTAAGCAAGTACCTTCATTCTTAATTTGTATGTATAATACAGTATTTAGAATCTTAGAAGTCCATCTTTACGTCACTTTTTAGGTTATTATGCCCAAGTAGATTTCATTGTATTTCACCATTAGATTTTTTTTTTCATATTACTTGACTAATTGTGAAAGAACTAGGGGCCTTTTTATCTTATATTTAATTAGTTATGACTTTATGAAAATGCTTTGGAAACTTACAGGAAACCTAGAGGATCCAGGTTGGTGGCTGTTGAATAGAATGGGCTCCAAATAGAGTTATGTGAAAGGTACTCAGTACTTGAGCATTTTAAACTTTTTTTTTTCATTCCTTTATTTTGAGCTAAGGAATTTTGTCTTGACAGGATGCAAATTCAATTAAAAAAATATTTTATATGAAAAAAGCAGAGATTGAACATCATGAAATAGCTAAGTCAAGTCTTCGAATAAGGTAGGTTAAAAAAATCCAAGATCCTTGTGCTTTTATATTTGCACATTTTCTAGCCAGTAATATCAGTACAGTGGAAAAGGAGGTTTATGTCACATTTTAAGATTATATTTACTTATGATAATGTGATTCTGAAAAGAATGAGGTAACTCTTATCTGGCCCCCTCGTAGCAGCTGAAGGGCTTTATTTTAAAAAGAAACATTTCGAGTTGGGCATGGTTGTACACACCTGTAATCCCAGCGCTGGGGAGGCTGAGGCAGGAGGGAGGCAGGAGGATTGCTGTAAATTCAAGGCCAGCTTGGACTACATGGTGAGACCCTATCTCAAAAAACAAAAACAAAACAAAATTTTAACACTACCATGTACTTTTATTATCTTATACAAATATAAATTTATATATTTCATGTAATAGTTAATGTACATAAGTGTAAATATAATATGCTGTTTGTATGTAATAGTGTATATCTGTAGTTGACAATAAATATATTTAGCCAGCAGATCTGGACTCTCATTCTGGCTTTATCCTTATTAGGATTATAACTTTGAATAAGTCTTAGATGTGGGATTCCATTTCCAGTACCTGAAATTGAAAAGTTGTTTCAATACTTTGGTTTTTTGGTTCTGCAATGACTGGAGGCTCCCGGGGACCAGCCCTGGTCTGTCCTCTTCTTCCGAGTCTCCAGATCCTAGAGCAGAGCCTGCTGCATAGAAGAGGGTCAGAAATACATTAGAAAAGAAGAAAAGGGGCCAGGGATGTACCTCAGTGGTACCACACCTGCCTGGCAAGCACGAGGTCCTGAGTTCAATCCCTGGTACTGGGGGAAAAAAAGAAGAAGAAAATACCAGGCATTGTGGCAAACACCTGTAATCCCAGCGCTTGGGAGGCTGAGGCAAGAGGATTCCTTTGAGTTCAAGGAAAGCCTGGGTTACATAGTGAGTTCAAGGCCAGGCTGAACTATATAGTGAGACTGTCTCAAAACACCAAAAAAAGAAAATGATTGTCTTTTTAAAATTTACCCAGCATTCTGATTTCTGCCATCAAGTTTCTGAACTTTTTTATCTATCTCTGGATAGGACTGCATCAAATTTGGCTGCAGCCCGACTGACAGGTTCTTCACACAATAAAGGTAGCCTTGGTGAAGAGAGAAACTCCACTAGCAAGTATTACCGGTGAGAGAAAGTTTAGTCTGAGAGTTAACCCGTGCTTGTAACAGTAGGCTTACTAATTTTTGTCCAGTGGCTATCTTGACATAATATTTTTGGGTTATTATGAGAACCTGTTATCAAGTTATTTATTTAAAGGTTGAAGTATTATGGTAGGTCTTAGCTCACCTGTCATATAATGTTTAAACATTATCAGGTAGTATTTAATATTAGTTACAAATAAGATATACTTACTTGTATTAAATGACTAAGTTTTGTGTTCATAATAAAATTTGTGTCAGTATGAGTGTTAAATTATGAGTGTCTTAGAGAATGAACATCTTAGAATAACCAGTAACTGTGACTGAACCTTTTACTTTTCATAAAATAAGCAGTAATGCTATATTTAAGTAAAAAGCATGGGGCCAGGGATTTAGCTCAGTGGTTCCACCGCCTGCCCTGCAAGCGCAAGGACCCGAGTTCGATCCCCCCCTAAAAAAAAGCAAATTGCCAGTGGCCTATTCTTAGCTTTCTACCATTCTTCCCTTTTTTCTAAAAAGAAAAAAACTGTTTTTTCTGGCCAAGACTGATTATGAGAAGTATTAAGAAATATAAGCCAGGCATATTGTTGCATGCCTGTAATCCCAACGGTGTAGGAGGCTGAGGCAGAAGGATCACAGGCTCGAGCTTACTGTGGACAACTTAGCAAGACCCTTTCTCAAAGTAAAAACAAATAAAAAGGGCTGGGAATGTGACTTGGTGTGCAGCCCACTGATATGGCTCCAGCCTTTTTTTTTTTTTTCTGAGATGGGGTCTCTCACTTATCCAGGCTGGTTTCAAACCTGTGATCCTCCTTCCACAGCCTCCTAGAGTGCTGAGATAACAGGCATGCGCCACCATGACTAGCTTAGAAAAAATTACTTTTCTTTGATATTAGTACTTTGTTAACAATTACTATTTCATGTAATCAAATTATTACAACATCTTTTTTATTTTCTAATTGCTTGTTTTTCTTTGTAGTAATAAAAGAGCAGTCCAAGGGGGTCGTTTATCAGCAATTACCATGGCACTTCAGTATGGCTCAGAAAGTGAAGAGGATGCTGCTTTAGCTGGTAGGCATTAGGTTATAGCTAATTAAGTACCTTCTAAGTGGATCTTTTCTGGCTAAGGGAAATTTCTGTAATGTTAGACTGGCCTTTGGTTGGTTTTTGAAAGACATGCTTTTTGTTGCATTTGACTATACTCTTTGATTGGCAAATTTACCAAAGGTTTATGCTTTATTTTTTGTTAAACCTGAGTAAATATAAAAACATAGGAAAACCGAATATAAAAGGATAGAGAATGATATAGCAGGCAAATAACTGAAGAACAGTTGTATTATCTTCTGTTAAGATGGACTTTCAAGGAGATTATTTCAAAGATAAAAGGGATTTACCTCAAAATTATAAGAGGTTGGAGAGGGATAAATTATAAAGGAGCTCCTAATATATAAAACAAACAGGAGGTACTTTACAGAAAAAATTGAAGACACTCCCTTTAAGAGTGGGAGCTATCTTCTCTCAGTTGCTGGGTAAGCAGACAGAAGTCAAGTGAGGCGGATACAGAAGACGTGAATACTTCTTCATAAGTGTATTTGTTTCCTGTTGCTGCTGAAACAAGTTACTCCAAGCTTGTTAGTATAAAACAACACAAATTTATTTATTCTCTTGTACTTTTGGTGCCAAGAAGTCTAAAATCAAGGTGTCAGCAGACGCAGTGTATTTGGGTATTCTAGAGGAGAATCTATTTCCTTGTGTATTCTACCTTCTAGAGGCCACTGGTATTCCCTGGCTGATGGCCCCTTCGCTTCTTTAATCTGTCCCTTCTTTCTTTGACCTTTTCCCCCCACCCCACCCAGGCATTGAACCCAAGGCCTTTGCATGGAGCTACCTACCCAGCTCTTTTTTATTCTTAAGATAGGGTCTTCCAGAATTTCCCAGGCTGGGGTGGTACTTGCTATCCTCCTGCCTCAGCCTCCCAAAGAGCTAGGTTTACAGGTATGTGCCACTATGTCTGGTTTTCTTACCTTTTATTGGAATCTGTCTTAGTCACTTTCTTTATTGCTGGGTCAAAATTCCCTGAGACCCAGAACTAAAGGAGAAGTTTATTTTGGCTCACAGTTCAGAAGTTTCACTCCATGTTTGGCTGGCTTAAACATAGAAAGCGTGGCAGAAGAGCCTGGGCAGAGGAAAGATGTTTAGGCCTCCGTGGCCAGGAAGCAGAGAGAGAAATGGTAGGAGCTGGGAAAGGAAAGAAACTCTTCTGGCTAGACTCTACCTCCTAACAGCAAACCAGCTATAGCACCCCTATAGTCTCTTCACCTTCCAAACACGTGAGGCTTTGGGGGAGGCCTTTTTAGATCTAAATCATAAAAGGGTCCTTGTGATTACATTAAAGTGCCCACTGACATAGTCCAGGGATTAATCCAGGATAATCTCTCCATGTCAGTGTTGCTAATCTAATCGCATCTGCAGAATCTCTTGTCATTTTAGTTCTTTGGTTTGGGAGGTGATTATGTTTTGGTGGCTGTTATTCAGCTTGCTGCAACAAATTTGATACATGTATTCTACAATTAGAGAATATATATTCTTCCCAGATTCACATTCCAAAACATTAACCACCTACTTAGCCATAAAATAAAAAAAAATTTTTAAGAGTTGGAAAATTTATTGGGGAATAGGAATGTGGAATAAGAATAGTTCCTTGGGGAGGGGGATGTAGCTCAGTGGCACCACCCTGCCTGGCAAGCCACAGGGTCCTGAGTTCAATCCCCGGTACCAAAACAACAAAAGAAGAGTATCTCCTAAGAGACAGGAGGGGTCCTGAATGAATTGTTCAAATTTCAATAAATTTGAATGATTATTATATAAATCATATTTTTGTCTGCAGCTGTCAACTAATAATGAAAAGATAAAAATCGAAATCCAGAACATTTAGAAATTTTAAACAGGTTAAAAGAAAAATTGACGTAGAAAAGTTAAAGTACTTGAAACTGGACAATAGCAATAATGAAAATAAAACATCAAAACTTGTAGGCAGCAAATAAAGGGATACGCCTAAAAGAAATTTGCAGGTCTAATCTAAGTGTTCTTTTTTTTAAAAAGCAGCTAAAGGAAGTTAATGAGACATCTAGCATAAATGAATAAGAGAATAGAAAAAAAAGATAATAAATGAATAAGGGAAATAGAAAGGAAACCTATACAGTACTAGAAAACACCATTAAGTTCTAAAGTTACTCTGTTAAAGCTACAGTAAAATAGGTAAGTAAAAATAGGTACAGTAAAATAGGTAAGTCTGTGGTAAGATTACCAAGAGCAGAACAGAAAGATGTAAGTAAATATATTGGTGTAGAGGAAATAATACAAAGTTTTAAAAAGAGAATATATGATAACCTTATGCAAATAAATTTAAAATTTTAGGTGACCAAATTCCCTGAAAATTGTAAAAGTATAAAGCCGATTCAGGATTAAAAATATTGATTAGTCATAGAACCTTTAAAGAAGTTATCAGTTAAAAATCTTTGCACATAAAAAACCGAAGCCAAAGTATCTGAGGTTCTTATTTTTTGTTTTTTGGGTTTTTTGGTAGTGGTGATGGGGATCAAACCTAAGAGCTTTATGCATAATAGGCAAGCACTCTACCAGTGAGCTACATTCTTAGCACTCTTGGGGAATAAAATTTTGTACAAACTTATGCAGAAAATAGAAGAAGAGCTCTCTAATCCACTGTATGAATCTAATATACCTAAATATTAAAACCAAAGGAAATGCAACCACACCATATCTAGCAGTGTTATAAAAGATGTAATGAAATCTGGGTATGAGGGCACATGCCTGTAATCCCAGCACTCGAGAGAGTGAGGCAGGGGGATTGCTATGAGTTCGAGGCCAGTTTGGGCTTCATAGTGAGTTCAAGGCCAGCCTGAACTACACAAAGAGACCCTATCAAAAAAAAAAAAAAAAAAAGATGACAGCTGCATTTATTCAGTAATATTAGATTTGTTCAATATTAGAGAAGATTTTCTTGGTGTAGTGGTACATACCTGTAATCGTAGCATTTGAGCACCTGAGGCAGGAGGATTGCGGCAAGTTTGAGGCCAGTCTGGGCTATGTAGTGAGTTCAAGGCCAGCCTCGGCTACATAGTAAATTCAAGGCAAGATTGAACTGCATAGTGAGACCCTGCTCCCCCAGAAGAGTATCATATATGACATTAACAGATTAAAGAAATAAAACCATTCAGTTGGGTCAGCAGATGGATTTGATAAGCACTATAATTCGCATTCATGATGCAAACTTAGCAAACTAGGAATAGGTAGATATCCTTCCTTACTTGATAAAATGTATTTCCAGCTTTGAGTGAGAAATGTTAACAATCTTTCCTTTACTATCAGAAATAAGGTAAGTATTGTGCATTATTCAAAATACTAGCCACCCATGATAATGGCAACAGTGAAAGAAAGTATAAGAATAGGAAAGAACAAAGATGTGCAAAGATTCCAACTGATAGATTGTATTTCTATTTTCTAATTGAGATTCTACAGATAAATTACTAAAATTCGAATAATGTAAAAAATAATAAGGTACATTATTCCAAAAAATTTCATTTCTGGAAAAACAAAAATCTAATTTCTCTAAAATAATTATTTTCCAAAATGATCTAAGTATAGATCCAACAAATACAAACTATTGGAAAAGATCAGAGGTAGGGTTAAAAAAGCATATTTTCAAGACTTTATGAACAAAACCTCAATAGCACGGGAACTAGCATAAAGAATCAACAACTGGGATCTCATCTTATTAAAAAGCTTCTGCACTGCAAGAGAAACCACAAACAAAGCTAAGAGACAGCCTACGATGTTGGAAAAAATTTTTAGCAGCTGTACCTCAAACAGAGGTCTACTATTTAGAATATATAAAGAATTGAAAAGAATCAGACCCCCCAGATTCAAAGACCCAATTCAAAACTGGGCATCTGAAATGAACAGACATTTCTCAGACAAAGAAGTAAAAACGGCAAATAAATTTATATGAAAAAATGTTCAACATTACTGGTCATTTGAGAGATGCAGATGAAAACACTGAGATTCCACCTCACCCCAGCAAGAATGACCGCTATCAAGAAGTCAACCAATAACAAATGCTGGTGGGGGTGTGGGGAGAAAGGAACCCTTCTCCATTGTTGGTGGGAGTGCAGACTGGTGCAACCAGTTTGTAAATCAGTATGGAGATACCTCAAAGAACTAGGGCTGGAGGCCCCATTTGACCCAGCTATTCCCCTGCTGGGTATCTTCCCCAAAGAATTAAAAGAATCATACCACAGCGATATATGTGCACCCATGTTTATGGTGGCACAGTTTGTAATAGCCAAAGCTTAGAAACAGCCCAAGTGTCCATCAGCTGGAAACTAGATAAACAAGATGTGTTTTTTTTATAAAATGGAGTACTACTCAGCCATAAAGAACGAGAAACTAGAGTCATTTATAGCTAAATGGATGCATATTGAGGCCATACTCTTAAGTGAAATAAATAGGACACACATGGGTAAATACCAAATAGTTTCTCTAGTGTGAGAAACTGAAAATGTAAATAAGGATTAAAATGATTAATTGATAATCTGAAATAAGAAGAAAAGGTCCAAAGGGCTAGGGGAGGTGGGAGGGGAAGGGGAAAGGAAAGAAGGGAAAGGAAAAATTATGAGACAAAAATAATGGAAACGAAATCTGTGTAAACTGGGAAGGGTGGAGGGGGTGAAGGACGCACAGGTAATGTCGCACAGGTAATGGGGAAAAAAATAAGAACCAAAATACATCATGTACAGGTACAAGCACCCATGATAAATATAAACGTATACCTAAAATGTACCAATAAAAGAATTTTTTTTAAAAAGCATATTTTCAAATCCTTGTCTGCTTCTAACTGCATGACTCTAGATTTAAACCCATACTGACTGCTTTGAAGGATAGCTGACCTTGTGCATATCATTAACTTCTTATGCCTAGTTTTCCCACTTAAAAAAGCAATAATAGCTGTCTTGTGTTGTAGTGTTAAGATTACCTGATGATGGTGCTTGACAAGTTCTTGACTAAGTACTTACTAGGTGATTTTTGTTCTTACCTGATCTGTCCAGGGAAATTTAAATTGTTTTTATACGCTATTAATGAATTCAGGGAAATGAGAAAAATCTGTTTTCTGTTTGTACAAGATAATTACATGTTTTGTTTGTTCTTGTGTTTTAACAATTCACCTTCTACCTAAAATTAACCTCTGTAATGAAATATACCTCAGGGATGTGATAGATCAACGGGCAAAGTCACAGAAATTTATTTAAGGTTAAATTGTAGTTGACGGTGGCAGCCTAATCTAAATTTATGCTAACCTAAATGTGTTAGTTAACTCTTTTTTTCTGTGTGCTTCATTCACTTTATTTTTTCATTAGTACATGTTTGCAGTGCATAATCATTACATTCATCATGGGGGATGTGTGCATGTATGTAGGAGATTTTAATTATATTTTTTTGTCCCCTTCCCTAACCCTCCAGCCCTTCCTCCCCTCCACATGTACATAAGTTCTGTTTCCATTTTTTCAACTTTCTGTTATAACAAATACTTGAGATGCTTAACTTGTGAAAATACCTTATTTGGGCTCACAGTTTCAGAGGTTCTAGTCCATGTTTGGGTGGATTCATTGCTGTTAGACTTGTGGCAAGGCAGCAGATCGTAGAATCATATGTATGGTAGAGCAAAATGATTTGCCTTATGGCAGAGAAAAGGCAAACATGGAACAGAGACATAAAGAGTCCTGTTGACCCCTTCAAGGCCATGTCTCAATGACTAGAAAGCCTCCTGCTACATCCCAACTCTCAAAAAGTGTTCACTACCTTCCAATAGCAGCTCTCTAGGTAGCAAGCCTATAACACATGGGTCATAAGGACATTCCATCCAAATTAAAGCATTAAACTTCATGCTGTTATTTTAGTTCTCAAATCTTTGAGTGGCTTCTTGCTTCTTTTAGCCAAGCACAGCAAGGAAAGCACATTTAAAAAGAACTATTTTGCAGGGATGGTGGAACATACCTGTAATCTCAGCATTCGGAAGGCTGAGGCAGGAGGCAGGTGCAAGCCCAGCCTAGGCAACTTAGTGAGAGTCTGTCTCAAAATAAAAAGGCTCCTTGAATCCCTAGTACTGAGAGGGAAAACAATTTTTTTTTTAATTTTTAAAAACCGTTCTAACTTTTACTATTTAATGTACTATTTCTGTGTAATGTTTTTATCCTTAACATCATTTTTTTTTTTTTTTGGTACTGGGAATTGAATTCGGTACCTTGCGCTTTTGAGGCAGGCAGTGGCACCACTGAGCTAAATCCCCAGCCCCTTAACATAACTTTTGTTGTTGTTGTTTTTTGTTTTTTGTTTTTTTGTTACCGGGGATCGAATTCGGGTCCTTGTGCTTGCTCAGCAGGCGGCGAAACCACTGAGTTAAATCCCTGGCAACATCACTTTTAATGAAGGTTAAAAGCTATTGTTTTAAAATAATTATTCTCACATATGTAGGTTAATCTGGAAAGTTGTCAAAAGTGCTTTAAAGTGGGGTTCTTTCATCCCTTCTTTTTCCCACTTAAAAATACTCCTTTTTTGTCTTTCCAGCTGCACGTTATGAAGAAGGAGAGTCAGAAGCAGAGAGTATCACTTCTTTTATGGATGTTTCAAATCCTTTTTATCAGCTTTATGACACAGTTAGAAGTTGTCGGAATAACCAAGGGCAGCTAATAGCTGAACCGTTTTTCCACTTGCCTTCAAAGAAAAAATACCCTGATTATTATCAACAAATTAAAATGCCCATATCACTACAGCAGATCAGGTAAGATCACTTCTGCATTATGCAGTGTAAATATGGTTGAGCCTATGCATATATAGTCTGTCTTACAGTGGATAAAGATATCAGATGTAAAAATGCCTTTACCTCAACATTTATTCATTTTTCATATAATTCAGCAAAGTAAAAAAATCTTTCTGCTTAAACCTTTCATTGGTATTTTAATGGTGATAATTTATCTGCATTTAAATTCTACTTAGTTGAACCTCCAGAATAGAATTTATTAGTTAAAACTATACATGAAATATGGTTCGTCTTAGTTTCCCACTCCTATTTAGAGAAATTGTTTTGTTATACGGTCTTGGCTGTATTGCCCAGGCAGGTTTCAAATTCATGCACTCAGGTTAGAAAATGTTAATGTAATCATTCAACCAGACAGAATACTTAAACCAGCTAGTATCACTAATAATAGCAGGAAGTCTCAATAACAAAAGCAACCCAATTCAAAAATGGGCTGAGGACATGAATGGATATTTCTCTTAAAAAATACACAAATGGCTTAAATAAGCACATAAAAAAAATGCCCAATATCACTAATCATTAGAGAAGTGAAAATTAAAACTACAGTGATACCACTTTACACTATTATGGTAATAGCTATCAAAAAGAAAAAGAATGGAATGAATATGTGTTGTGAGTATATAGAGAAAGTGAAACCCTTGTGCACTGTTGAGAAGGTGGTACACTAGAAAATAATGTGACAGTTTCTCAGAAAACTTAGTTGTATTTCCCCAAAAATAAGACCAAGTCTTACATGTATTAATTTTTGCTCCAAAAGACTCAATAGGGCTTATTTTCAGAGATATCTTCTTTCTTTCTTTTTTAATTTTATTTTTTTTTGGTACCAGGGATCGAACTCAGGTCCTTGTGCTTGCGCAGGAGGCAGCGAAACCACTGAGCTAAATCCCCAGCATGTATCTTTTTTTAAGTATAGCAGTCTACATTTATTCATGTACAAAAATCTACATTTATTCAAGTACAATCATGTCATCTTGTTTTGGAGTATCTTAACTCTCCAAACCCTAAATTCCAGTGAATATCTTGCGACTCCATCTCCTATAGAATCATTGGCCCCAATCGCTCATGTCCAGCAATAGAGCCTGTCCTTAAGTGAGCATTTCTTGTCCATGTAGCCTGCTTGTAGAGTATTGGTAATACAGCTGTCAGTGATTTTATCCCATGAATTCTTCACTGAAGTCACAATCTCTTCCAGGCTGGGCTTCACAAAGTTTCCATTAAATCAAGTTTTAACTGAAGACTTATGAGACAGGAATGGCAACAAAAACAATGACAGTTAAGAATGATTAAAAAAAAAAAAATGATGGTCCACACAAAAGTGATGAAAAATTGCAGACACAAAAATTCAGAAAACATTTCTTTATGTCACATAAGTGCATTAAGTACATCTGTTACAACACAGGACATAGTGAATTATGAAGATTTGTGTCAGACATAACCACATCAGTTTGTTATCAAGTGCACACGTTATTCATGTGTTGTGACTATACTCCAGTTGGTCATTTAGCAATTAGTCTCAAGTTCATCTGTTTACATAGGCATTTATCTCTTGTCCGGAAGCAATTGCTTGGAAATTTATAAATAATTATAGTTTATATTTTCACTTATTTTAAGTATTTAACGCCAATAATATTATTAATAGTTATTTTATAATTCATTATGTCCATTGTGTGTTGCAGTAGACATACTAAATGTATCCTTCTGCCTGAAGATCTTAACTGGGGCTTATTTTTAGGATAGGGATTATATTATGAGCATCTTGGAAAAAAATTATGCTAAGGCTTATTTTCTGGTTAGATCTTACTTTCAGGGAAATATGGTATATGATCCAGCACAACTCTATTTTGGGTATATACTCAAAGGAATTGAAAGCAGGGTCTCAAAGAGGTATTTATAAGCAGATGTTTACAACAACATTATTCACAATAACAAAAATGTATAAGCAGTTCAGGTATCCCTTAACAGATGAAAGATCACCAAAATATGATGTATACATACTGTGGAATAGTAAATATTCTAGCTTAAAAAGGAATGAAATTCTGACAAATGCTATAGCATGGATGAGGACATTATGCTAAGTGAAATAAGTCATAGAAGGAAAAGCGTGATTGTACTTACATGAGATACTCAAAGGTAATCAAAATCATAGAGACAAAAAATTGAATGGTGGTTGCTGGTGGTAAAGGGAAACATCAGCTTACTGTTGGATCGGGGTGGTGGGGGGGAGTGTTGTCTCTGTGGGAGGCCTAGGAGCCCAGTGTAATAACCTCCCACCTCCCTTCAGGTCTTTGTCCTCACTCTTAGTGGAAAATGGGGGAGTTGAGACTGGTATCTGAAGTTTATTTAAAGTTTATTAGCCAAAGTTTATTGAAAGTGTGGCAAATGCAGAGGAAGCAGAAGAAAAGCTATCTTAACAGCAGAGTAGTGCTGCAAGATAGAGGGTTTCCCACTGGTGATGGCCCAGTTAGTATGAGATATGTTCTTACTTATAGGGACAAACTGTTTTATTGATTAGTGTGGGTGAGGCCAATCAGGGTCTTAGTCTTTGTTTCTGAGAAGGGGACAAGGTCAGCATACAGTAAATGTGAACAGTTTCATGAACGATACAATAGGGTAGGTACATTTCTTTCAAGCACATGGTACATGATAAGTGTGTGATGATTTTGCAGTCATCAGCCACAGATAAGCATGTGATGATTTCACAGTGTTAGTCATCTGCATTTTGCCCTGAGTTTTTGTTTATGTGTCTTTAAGCTGCCCTTAAATTACTATTTAATAGGTACATTGTTTCAGTGTTATAAAACGAAAAGCGTTCTGGAGATGAATGGTAGTGATGGTTGCATAACGTTGTGGATGCATTTCATACCCCTGAAATGTCCTTGAAAACGATCAAGGTGATGAATTTTGCTTTTTACAATAGGGCTACATTGTAACACAGTGTGAGTGTTTGCCTGGTACATGAGGCCTTGGGTGAAAGAAGAAAGAAAAAGTAAGAACAAGAGTAACCTTTTACCCAAAGTCCATTTTTTTACAAAGATTTCCCCAACATCAAATTTACTTGGGGAGGGCAATGCTATAGATAGAAACCCAGAGTTTTGACACTTGTTAGGCAAGTGTTCTAACATTGAGCTATGTCCCTGCCTGTCAAATTTACTTTTTTTTTTCTTTTTTTGGTACCAGGGATCAAACTCGGGTTTTGTGCCCAAGCAGCGAAACCACTAAGCTAAATCCCCGGCCCTACTTTTTTTTTTTTTGAGACAAAGTTTTGCTGTGTAGTTCAGGCTGGCCTTGAACTAACTGTATAGCCCAGGGTGACCTCAAACTTGCAAATATCTTCCTGCTTCCACCTCCCAGGTGCTGGGATTACAGGCGTGGACCACCACACCAGGCTCATACTTACTTTTTATCTCTTCTGAATCAACTGAAAAATAGTGATATTGGCAAAGGAATATATAATTTGGGCTATTACATGTGTGGAAGCTGAACAGTACTTATCAGAGACACAAAAATACGGCTTTTAAGTAGATCCTGACCCAATTTAAAAGTTGAGGATAAATGATCAGTATTCTCAAAGGATCATAAAAAGTGGAAACATTCTAAAGAATTAATAATACTGCAAAAAATTGGCTAATGGGCTGGCTAGGTATGTAGCTGAGTGGTAGAATACTTGCCTAATATACATGAGGCCCTGAGTTTGATTCCTAACATCACACACACACACACACACAAAGTTACATGTTATATATAGTTTCAGTGTGGCTAATGAGGCCTCACTAGCCAGGCCCAGAAGTTCATTTAAAAAAATAAAAAGTTGAGTATAGTGGCACACATTTTTTTTTTTGGTACCAGGGATACAACTCACGACCTTGGGTTTGCAAAGCAGGCGGGGTGCCACTGAGCTAAATCCTCAGCCCTATGTAGTGGCACACATCTTAATCCCAGCTATTTCGTAGGCTGAAGCAGGAGGATCTCAATTTCAAGGCTAGGCTGGGCAATTTAGCAAGACCTTGTCTGAAAATAAATTTTCCAAAAGGACAAAAAGGACTGGAGAGTGTTTTCCTAGCTCGTACAGGGCCATAGGGTCAATCTCTTGACACTTCAAAAAAATAAAAAAGAGGAAAAGAAAGAATAAAGGTAACAAAATCCTAATCTGGAATCAAGTAAATGGCTTTAAAAACTTAGTTTGCATTCCATCCTAATTTTTTTCCATCCTAATTTAATCAGTGTCTGTGAATCTTAGTATTACCAGTATATTTCAAGTTCCTTTCTTACATCTTCTCATAAATTTTCAAAGATACTTGAAGTGCTTTCTAGAAATCAAAATTTGAAAGACTTTTGTGTGTAAAAGAATAGAAAAACGAAAAGAACTTAATTGATCCAGTTGTGGTTTCTTATTTATTTAAATTAAAAAGAAGGGGCCAGGGATTTAGCTCAGTGGTTCCACCGCCTGCCTAAGTGCAAGGACCCGAGTTCGATCTGCAGTACCAAAAAAAAAAAAAAA